CTCCACATGGCGTGTGCGCGCGAGTTGCTATATAAAAAGAAGCTAAGAGTTTGCGAACGTAAGGTGGCTTCTCCATCAGCATTAGTGCGCAAGCAACCCAGACCGAGCTTGAACCCAGGCCGGCGAATATGGAATACCATTGGTTTCATAATAATGTAAATTCGCGCCCGCGTGGAAATGTAGTCGCGCGAGTGAATTGTCCGCGTTATTAATTTCTGTCGCGCGCAATTATCGGGCGAGTTTTAGAATGCGCATGCGCAAATTAAGTTTTGTCGCACGTGGACTCCGTCCTGTGGAGAATGGACTCGTCACGAACGTCGTCTCGTTCTTCGACGACAGAACTGAGCATTGAGGAAGCGGAAAAGGTGGAGGCTGTTTTGTTGAAGGCTGGTTTACTACATCTGAAACCTAAATTTGTCCAGGAGAAGTAAGGGGGAGTTTTTAGAGTAAATATTTGCTACCCAATCCTACACCTCTTTTAGATTTCTGTTTCTGTCATTCCATTTCTGGAAAGCAAAGACTGGGATCGTCTGGGAGTGTCTGCAGTTGGTGACCGTGTTATTCTTGTTCAGCTGAGTAAAGCCCAGTCAAGTAAGTACATAACACTTTCACTGCTTGAAGGTATAGCTGTGCATCCCTGAAGGAGATGTATCTGTGTCTTCGGAAATGCGTTCATTATTTGGAGCTGAAAAACCAGGTCCTTCCAAGTTACCTTCCCAGGAGGAGAGTTTTTCAAAAAAAGCAGAACGGCTCTGTGGGAAGTACCTGTCTGGGACTATTACTCCGGGTTCTGATAGACGTCGTAAACGTCGTGCTATTGTATCAGGCTCTCGGGTCAAAGAGTGGACAAAAAATATTGTCCTCATTGATTAACAGGGGCAGAGGGAGAATGATGTCTTACCTTTGTATGATTATCACAAGATCTTTGATGGTTTGATGAGCCTGAATTCCAATATGTCAGAAGAAGTTCGGCAGGAGATAGTGCGCCTTGTTCAGCTGAAATTAATTCCTACACACCATCTGGAACGCTTGACAACAGATTCTTTTAGCTTGAGGCCCTGGACCACCGTAAATAATCGAGAGTGCAATGCATCTTCCGACGTTGTAGAACTCCTTCTCCAGTGCAACAGCGTTGTGTAGTGCAGTTCGTCGACCATCCATTCCGCACATCAGACTAGCATTGGCTCCTATCTCCATCATGAGCAGTCGGAAGAATTCCTTGAAGAGTAAACACAATTACCATCGCTTGGACCCTTTGGACACAAAGGGTATTAGAGATTCGGTAGACTCTCTATATAGGGATGACACGGGTGAAATCTCACGTGATCCGCGTACAAAACGACAAAGCTACATGACACCATCCCTATATCTATGTTCGATATTAAACTTTGCTTATAAACAATGTAACAAAGATATAGGGATGGTGTCATGTAGCTTTGTGCAACTTTGCTGTGTAATGACCCCTGTTTCTCCTGGTGTGCTTCAAGCCATCCCTATATCCCCCTTTATTTGAAGAAATGATTTTTCCACTTGTTTCACTATTTTACAGGTTATGACAACACGCATTTGTTGCTACGGTCACTCTGAGGTCATGCATGAGTATGTTGTAGATACTAGGCTATATACCAATAGACAAATTGTAACGTGGCTACGGGCTGCTTAGTGCTGAAGTAGTAGCGGGCTATAGATACAGCATTCACCTCCGATTGTCTTCAACATAGATGTAATTAGATTATAGCACATAGTTGTGGTTTCATGGAAGCTCTTTGGTAACTCAGGCGATATACAACAATGAAGGACGATTTGACTGAGCGCCCCGGAAGGCTCGCGACGTAACACCGCGCAGACTCTGGCAGTTGCTCTTCGTGCAAATCAACAGCAAGCTAGCAGTTGGAATCGCACACTTACGTACAGAAGTACTGGAGGGCTGAGAGTTCCCCGTGCAGGTCGACCAACTCGGCCTGGTAAGTGGTAATACGCTCGCAAGCGCATTGGACAACGCCCCTTGCCTGGCGCATGCGCGCGGCTCACTATGCTGAGTTAGAGCAAATGGCTTGGTTCAGTGTCGACATGGAAGAGCTCAATGATCCCGAGTGACTTGCGGCATAGAAAGATAGAAACGATCGCTGATGTGCCGTGCACATCTCCGGGAGAAATTGGAGACACTCAGTGAAAACAATCAGTGCTTGTGAACTGGTACTGGTAAGGAGATAGCGGGTTTAAGAAGAAGAAAGTAGAAGAGAACGACGAAGAAGATGAGAAGAATTTGATGAGTGACACGAAATCGCTGAAGAAGCGCGTATGAGCGAATTCTCGTGTGGACGACTGACTGTGCGTCTGAGAGTCTTGGGGAACATGTATAGGTAGTAGATATGGGCCCGCACAGACTATTGCTAGTATGTTTGAAGGCGTGAGGGAGTGATCTCACCGAGTGTTAGTCGTTTTGTACGCGGATCACGTGAGATTTC